GATTCATAGTCATACATTTTTCAGTCTGATGTGATAGGGAACCCACATAAAAAATTCAATAGAAAAATCTTGATTATATCAATAACAATGGCACGCAGTTTTTAATGATTTTCGTCTTTCTAATCAAATGGTCGTAAAAGCTCAGGTTCCACCCAATATTTCACCTATATTCAATTTTATCCGATTAAATGTTGTAAAATATTTATCATAATTGATCAAAAATAAATAATGCGAACAAACAAACAAACACACAAACAGGAATTCTTCTTTATATATCTAGATTTTGTAAAACTTACAAATTTTTATTAACAAATTCTACGATTTGAAAACGAGCAGTTGCAACACTTTTCGAAATAAAGCATTTTTACCTGAAGCGCGCCAGACTGCTGCCACTCGGAAAAATGAGTGCGAAAAATAGTGTTTTCAAGGTTTTTAATTAATATCTCGGCTGATTAAAGTCGTACGAAGATGGGAATAGTCGAAATGGCTTTCCACGAATTTTTGGAATAATGTATTTAATGTTTGGCAATGCTATTTTTATTTTATTGTAAAACTTAAGAATTTTTTATTAACATACTCTACGATTTGAAAGCGAGCAGTAGCAACACTTCATCAGGGGATAGAAGAGAGAATTCAATTGATTTCAATGTTCCTTCTCCCTGATGAAGTAGCACTGAAGGTGATTGAATTCTTCTTCTGTTTTTGTTCCTTTTTCTTTAACTTTCATTAATTTTTTGAAATGGGGTTTTGCTTGTTTGAAGTGTTTTGGTTTTTAACATTTTTAAATTCTTTGTTGCAATAATTTGAAATTTATTAATTATGAATTTCAATTTTCGGTCTTTGTGAAATATTGGTTCTAAATTTCTTACTTTATGTCTTTAATGATATATATATACATATATTTGGCTCTGAAAATTGCAATAAAAACGCAAGTGGCATAACTAGACGCTATAGCAGTCCTATATGCAAAACTTCAACGTTCCATGGCTAATAGGTTTTGAATTATGCGAGATTCATACACATGTATGTATGCACAGACCTCACGGAAAATAATCCCCTTTGAATCCATTTTGAAATCCGTTTTGGAAAAAATAGGCCTTTGTTCTGTCCCTGCGTACAGATATCACGAAACAAATCATCCGAATGGGTTCATAAACGGTCAAAATGGATATTTCTGCTCAAATATGATACCCGAAATTTTTCATGATTACGATACTCCCTTTTTGGATTTGTAATGTTTTTCTGGAAATATTTATAACTAAGCTAAATAGGAATGACATTAAATTAAAGTTAGGTTTATTTGCTATTTAAGATTTCGGACCCTATGTATGATACCTGTCCAACTGAAACGCAGCTCTAGGCTTCGTTAGCATAATAAGATGAATGAATTCTTTCAGAGTATTACTTATATAATTTTCCGTCAGATTTCTTTGCTTTCTCGTATTAGGTTCCAGAGTTTTGGTTGTTATCTCAGTTTTCAGAGATACTTATATTCAAGCAATCCACAAAACGAATCCGTTTCGCATTTCTTCAATCCTATCTTATTGTATGCAAAAGAATTCGGAACTTTCTTTGAAACTGCCAAATACCACTCCTTGATAGCGCTAAAATTGGACTTCCACAGTGGGTTCTCCACTTTCAAAGAACTCTAGATGGTCTCCTACAAGCTCTTCAACAACAGAAGGAGATAGTTTCAGCAGGATGGAATTCAGAGTTCTCCAGGGTTTGACTGTCAGAGAAGGGGGATGCCATCAAAAGTCGGCATTCTTTCGAAGTAATTTGGAACATCAGGTTTTTCCAACCCCAAAGGGGAGAAATCTTTCTTGTTCCAATAGAAAGGGATTTTGTATCACTTCTGTTCACGAATGAGAAAAGGAAATGCGAGTAGCGGAAATCAATAAAATATAAGTTGTCGTCCGATTCTCAAAACTGTAAAACCTAGCGAAGCGATGTTCAAATAATGGAAAGCTGAGAAACGTTTCTTCGCGAGTCTTTGTTATTTCAAAGTGATTCTTTGCCCGAGTATAAAATATATGTATGTATTTTCAGACCTATTTCTTATGGAAGTTAAAACAATTCTTTGAAAATCAGTGTCCTGAAAGTCACGGGTAATAATAAAGATCACACTAAGTGAAAAATCTTAATTTATTTTTTAGTTTATTCTATATTTATTAAGTTTACTCTATTTATTTATTATTTATTAAGTTTACTCTTATCTTTATAATTTATTAAGTTTACTATTTTATTAATTATAAGTTTACTTATTATTAATTTATTAAGCTTACTCTATTTATTATTAAGTTTACTTTATTTATTAATTTATTAAGTTTATTTAATTTATTAAATTTATTCTATAAACAAGAGACTTACAACTATATTAGCTGCAATAAATATGCAAATATTTACAGAAATTATCAGATAAATATATTACCTATTGTACAAAAGAATCATTTGATTAAAAGTGAAAAAAAATTTTAAAAATGCCTACAGTTTATTGCACCAATTCTGGTTCTCCTGAACGTCTGTCAACAGCTTTCAAAATTGCAGTTGGCTATTGCGTGTTGTACAACACCTTTATGGCATCATAGTATAATACATTATGACACGAAAAGTTTGAGCACTGTAGTAGAGAAGTTTCAAATGATAAAATACTCATATTGTAAAGCAAGCAATTTATTAACAAAAAAATGAAATAGACTTCTTTTTCCATTTTTAAAAATTTGAGTTTCGGAATAGGAATAATTTAATGAAAAAAAAGAAAAGAAAAGATTGTGATGAATTAAAGAAAAGGAGAAATATTTCATGATGTTTACGCTTTTAAAATGTTTTTAAGTGAAGCTAAAGGTCGCATTAGACTCCTTTTCAGAAAATCTGTAATACAAAACGCATATGTAGCTAGATTAAATTTAAAATTGTAGAAAATAATAAACTGTGAATATTCATAATAATTATCCTTCATAACTTTTATTCAAGTTTCAAACAGGAATTAAGGTTGGAAAATTTTCCCTGCAACTCTGAATGCGAGTTTCTCAAATATTCGCATACAAAATGTTTAAAAATCTATTGCACGAATCTCTTAGATTCGGTTTGGTGTTAAATATATGCCTCAACTTAATAAATTAATAAAAGAAGGTAGGCTTTCAGTCTGCAAGGAATTTGGTAATGTAGCAGATATGTGTAATGTATGGAAATTTTTAATCCTATCGATTATAAACACCTACCAGACTCTGGAAATTCTTGATATTATTTATTTTACAGGTACACTGCGCAAACAAAAATGGGACAGTTCCGTTCTCCCGTTCTACTGGGCCAGTTGACGAAATTCAAATTGCTTTTTCCCTGTCTCGAAAGCGCGAATTAATATATATAATAGATTTACATATAGCTTTGTTCTAACATAGCTATATGTAAATAGGTATTTTGGCACAAATAATTCTGAGACAAGTATTAAATAGGCATTTGACACAAAATCAGACTTTTTGAAATAACATACCAATTTCGTACTCATAATTCGATTCTACCACTCAAATTATGAGTAGATATTAAATTTTGCAATTTTTCGTAAGAAATTTATGGAGAAATTTAAAAATTTACCTTGGCGAATTTTGTTGGATTTGTGCCAAGAATAATTCATTTGGCGAACTTCTTAATTTATAGCAACCTAATTTTCCTTCCTTTTACTTCATTGTCCACAAGAGAAAAAAATCATCGTTCATATTTTAAAATAATTTAACAAAGTGCGTAAACCACATTTTCATTATTATCGCTTATAATAAACACGCCAAATTTCAAAACGCGCTAAAATGTAAATTCACTTATGTCTTAGGAAATGTTGCAAAACAATCTCTGATTTTTTGCAGGTATGCTTAAAAGTACATCTACTTTAAGATGATGGCAGAACTTTTATGAGTTATAATTAAAAACGTTTTCGTAAAAATTATTTAAAAATACATATTTTAAGAATAAATCGTGAAAATAGGCGAATTTTATTTGGAGTGAACCTAAATTTTGAAATATGGAAAGATAAAGCAAGTAAGCTTAATAAAAAAGAGATATTAATAAATATATCAAATTCAATTAATACTGAGGAGCTAAAATTTTGAGAGCTAATTTTTTAAAACTCCTCGTGCGATTTTGACAAAACTTGCAGTTTGGCGTCATTTGAGTCATAAAAAATTGGCACGCCAAATCAGAAAGAGCCCGATTTTCTGTCAAAATACCTATATTAGAATAATGCTAAACTATATCAATCCAATACACATCCTAAGTTGCGCTTTCGAGACATGAAAAATGCAAGTTGGATTTCGTCAATCGGCCCAGTAGAACGGGAGATATAGAGCTATCTTTTTTTTTCGCGGTGTACATGTATAAAGTATATTGCGCCTTTCAGAGCAGAAAACTTAAAGAATAAACGGTATTGGCCGTTTGGAACTGCAATGTTTTCTCTTCGCTTTATTTTCTCCCACGATGTCTTGCACCGCGACGTTTTCGCGTTGCGTTGTTTTTGCCGCGATGTTTTAGCACACATCATTGTATACTAAATTCTTGATTATCGGGAATCCGACTAAACTGAAAAAGAAGGATGGAAAAAAGCTTTGAACCAATAAACTCGAAAATTGACTAGCTTCAGTTTTTCTAAATTATTTTTTCTTCGTTGTTTTATTCTTAAAAAATAAAAAAGGTATTTTGAATTGAAAACAAGCGACTTCCTTTATGTCAGCCCTATGTTACATGGAAAAGTTATAAGGTATTTTCTTCCTCCTGTCGGTATGCCTAATGGTGTAATGGTTAGCACACTCGACGCGTATTCGAGAGGTCTAGGTTCCAGTCTCGGCGAGGGCATTGCTCATTTTTCACGTCTTCTTGCTTCAATAAATACCTAATGTCACTACAGTGGCTCCCGAACTAAAAGGGGATGGATGATGGTTCTTCATCACCAAGATTTGGCGACTGAGCCCACTAATCTTCAGTCGCCCTTTAATTCTCCCTCCTTTCGGCATTCCTTCGTAGTGTAATGGTTAGTACACTCGGCTTTTATTCGAGAGGTCCAGGTTCGATTCCCGGCGAGGGCATTGCTCATTTTTCACGTCTCCCTGCTTCAATAAATACCTAATGTCTTTAAAAAGTAATGAACCGTTAGATAAATTTATCTTTCGGGAATGAGTCTTAAATATATATGTCTAATGGCAGATCACGTTACTTAAAACTTTTATTTCATCGAAAGCTTTCCTTGGACGTTATTAAGAAATAAATCTGAAATAAACAAAAGGTGAATTAAAATAAGTTATGATCCCTTCATAAAATATTCCGGGTGAATTTTTAGCATTTCAAGAAGAAATTTAACTGTGATCAAACAGTCGTATTAGTATTCCTGCACATAATTTCTAAAAAAGAAACTTGCGATTAATCTATGGGATAACATGGGTTTATTCAAATCTCATGTTTTCCAAGTTTCCTTCCTTTTTAAATATTCATTCTTTTAAAATACAGTACTATGAATTTTTCTAAATGCATATATGAGGCATAGTTTTGGTACTTTAACGGTAAAAATTATAATTTTAATTTTGATAAAAATTTAACTTTTATTTTTTAATTACCAATTTTTTACAAAATGTTAAAAATCAACCCTATTATTAAACAAGATAGGTTAGTAAACATGTTATACCCTCATAAATGCATATTCTTTTTTCTCCTATATTTCCTTTTTTCCCCTTATTTTTATCCCTATATGGAAATTTGTCTGACCGACTGATGATACTGAATGTTGTGTTGCAGTTAAAGCATGAAATAGAACTTAAGAAATAAAAAGAAGGTCGTTATTTCATGTTTAAATAGTAGCGATATATAAATGCATAGTAACAGGAATATGTTAACATATTACAGCGCTGATATGTAAATACACCATAGTACAATGGATTCTGTCTAAGATGACCATCAGACAATTTCGGTCTATCCGTGCAAAATAATTACGTTTGAAATAAAGATTTCTATAAAGATTCTATTTACAACAAGATCCAAAAATGCAGCTTTTCGCCTTATGTTTTCAGTTTGTAGGTGAAATTAGGCATTCTGGTGGTCCATCATCTTAATACATTATTTGACGGTCTTAATTAGGGAGCGACCACCTTAAAAAATATTATTATAGGTACCAGTTCCGGTATGTATTTACATTTCTAGAAATGCTAGTCGCTTCCATAGAAATACTTACTTTTACTTTTAACCATCGAAAAGACTTACGAGACAAAATTGTTATCCAATATGGCTTCGTCCCAGTTAGTTTAGATAAATTCCCAGTTACTTTAAATAAACTACAATTATTTACAACATTAAATTCCTTTATTAAATATAAAGAAACAAAATTATATCATAATTTGGATAACAACAAAGCTATAGCAGGCTAAGCTCATAATTTCTTATAAGCAGTTATGATGACCCAAATGATCCCGTTTGATACCTCTACTTCTGCAAGCATTCTCAGTAAAATAAATCAGATTCCACATTTCCAGCATTCAAATTGAAAGGACAGCCCTCTTACCAGTAGATCGATTTCATCATCAACTCGAATCAATTTTCCACTCGATCTACGTTCGATGATTAAAAAGACCTCGTCAAACGATCACTTTGATAAAGCCCCATTTTACTCTTCTCTAGATGATTGGGTGGGGTGGGGTGGAACAAAAATCTGAGGGGGAGAGAAAAATCTCGCCCCAAAGCAAAGAAATAAAAAAATGGAAAAAAGCGAAACCATCACTCTGTGGGTATCTAGTTGAGGATGTTACTATGAAGGCGTTGAAAATTGACCTCGTCAGCGGCACACCCATCCGATAAAAAGACCTATCATTTACATATCACCCCCCCCCTCTAGTAGAAATGACACCACCTGCTGACGGATTCTCTTCCTCCCCCCCAAGCCCCTCATAATGTAAGACGACCTTCCTAAAAGTTTTTTTTCTTTTTTATATGCATGATATATTTTTCTAGAAAAGTAAAACTTCGTTCCTGATAACAAGTTTGGTTCTTTCTTTTGAAACAAACTGCCACGACTATCTTTGTTGTAAAAGGATATCTTCCTAAGTCGTGGTAAACCCCCAGATAGTGACATGAAAATGGGAAGTCAGTTAGTTGATAGTCCAAAGTTATTCCTCACACTCCCGAGTTCCTTATATAGAAGTTTCTCTAAAACCCACTTATTTCTTTTTTGTTTGTTGCATGATTTTATGCACTTTGTTTTTCTATTATTGTAAACAGTTATTAGATAAATAATGTAGCTTTTTATGAAATAATACTTTTTATTGCTCTCAAAGATTCTTTTTTTACAAGAATGATAAAATTTCATCATTCGAATGGAAAATTATTGTAATGAGGGCATTGCAGAACAGTCTGAATTTCATCATTTATTTGAAATATTGTTCTCAAATAAATGAAATTACTAAAATATCAGAAATTCGGTTGACTCTATTAATCTGTTAAATTTTTATGTTTATTTATTTTATGTTTATTTTTTTATTATTTTATGTTTATTTTGTTTACATTATTTTATTTATTTTATTTTTTTTATTAAAAATGTTTATTAATCTGTTAAATATATTAGAACAACTGAAAAAAGGCATAACTATAAGGGGAAACCAAACTTCTATAAATCTTCTGGCTTAAATTTCATGCTGTGATTTCCTGTTCTCGGCAGCTCGTATTCACAGAGCTGCCTGGAACAGTAACTGGATCCATGGGATTCATAGTCGCCCAAACGGGGATAGTGGTTAGTGACTCTAAATTCGTACTGAAGGTCCAGATCTGAATCCCGGAAAAGGTATGGATGTTTATAGTGTCTTCGCGGCATGGGCGCACTTTAAATGCATGGTGAGCAGAAAGTCCTTTCGTGTGGATTGATGGTAGGGCAAAGGAGGTGGAAGACTCTCGAAACCATCTCCCGGAGTGCTGTACCTCAAAATTGGGGTGGAACTGTGCAAAATCGTATTGTCACTTACATGGCATTCAAGGCTGTTGCCAAGACAGGCGCAATCTTGTACTCCTTGCCACGATAAGTTTCATGGGTTTGTTCTGATATAGGCGGGAATTATAACAACGACAGCAACATGATTCATAAGATTCGACTGCAACGTTGAGACTTAAGTAATATTAGCTGCATTGACTAGATCATTTGAGTAGTAATGAAACAATGCTTTTTCAGAATTTGGAAAAATTAAGTTGCAATATTATGTATAATATAAATTTGTTAATCTTCACACAATTTTACGAAGTTAGATGGCTTCCAGAATATATTATTCACCGCATGAAGAAACCCTTTACATAACATTTACAATGTAAAAACTAGAAAGGGCTTCTGTAAGTGGGTGCCATAAGTCAGCCATCGTATCACGAGAATAAAATGTAGCATTAACTGGAAACTTACTGCAAGGTAGAAACATAAACTTCTTAAATCTTTAAATTCATAGTCAAATTTTGTAGCTGAAGCAAAAACATGATCATATACACATATAATCAAACGGTGCCAGCAGTTCGAACATGGCTCGCACAGACTTATTCTAATTTCAAGGAAGATTATAAACGCCGATCCCCGAAAATGGTTGCTGAAAGCTGATAAAATGAATCACTACAATCAAAGACTGGCAATCTCATAAGTCGTTCTGGGCTTGATGTCTGTATGAAAAATAGTTCTCCAGTGATGCAAACAAATGTAAAACAGCGATTTTCTGTTGGTAAGGATTTGAGCAATTAATTCAGTATACAGTCTTATAGGTATTAGGTGACTGTGAAAAACAAGTAATATAAAAAAATAGTTTGTAGAGACATTAGGATTTTTTGGAAGCCAGAGAGATGAAACATTAACAACCGCCTTCGCCGGGAATCGAACCACGGACCTCTGGAATACTGGCCTAGCGTGCAGAACCACTACCCCACGAAGGACGCTAGGAAAGTGGGAGAAATACCTTACAAGTTTAAAGTCAATTCCTACTTAAGAGAATTTTCGCTACATAACGGGACATTAAATCCACTTCATCCAACTCTATAAAATTACAATTCTTCAATTCCATACACTTTAATAATCTTTAGAACTCCATCTTACTGTTGCCACGGTAGAAGTTTACAATTGGCTGCCCCTTGCTTTTGGTGATTCGTTTTTTGACGCCAAGATCAGCGCCAGGGAGGCACAATTTCAAGATGGCCGCTACAGGTGGATTACGTTATTCAAAATTTGATAGGTCTAGGTACCGTCGTTTTTTGACAGTGCGAGACGCACACACACATTTATACAAATTCCTTACTCTTTAATTTCTTTAAATATATACAGGGCTCTAATATTTGGTGGCAGAAATTTAAAAAGTGATTTGCCATTTATTGTGAAACGCCACAAAATGCCGTTTTGAGACTAAGAAGGCTACCACCCCTTTGGGCTAAAAATGCATTACCTGATAAAATTCCCCCATACATTCAGAAAATTTCCTTTGTTTCTTGATTTCTCCTCAGTTATTAGAATTTTCAGAAAGACCGCCTGAGGTATAAAACTGACACGTATTTTACAGCTGCTTACAAAATCAAGTCGGAAATAAAAGCTGATTAATTTATTTTGTGCACGGTAGTTGGGGTAACAATAAATATAAATGCAAACTGTTCTATCAAAGAACTATTTTAATTACGAGATTTTACATAATCTGATTATGTGACATCGAAAAGGAATAGAAAGGAGAACTTACTGAAAATGTCTTTGATGTCTAATTAATTAACGTTTTTTTTAAAACCATACATTTCCAATAAAGGTAGCTTATCACTGTATTCTTTGACGCGCATCGGCAGTAAAAGGCTTAAAATTAAGTGATTTAGATTTTGCTGGTGTACATTTATTAATGAAACGTTAGGCTCTGTTGCCGGTTGAATCAACTTCTGTAAATTAACTCATTAACAACCGTTCACCTGTTCATTTCTACTCACCTATTTAAATCGCTTTATCCCTTGAAACATAAATTAATGAAATTCTTATTAACGTTTGTATTTATCTTGCTTTTGTTTATTTACTGACTTTGCTGCTTTGAAGGTTTCAAACTTCCTTTGCTTT